AAAAATCTTGTTAAAAAATCCACGTTTATTGGTCTGGAAGTCTTTGGAAAAATATTCTTTAAAAATCCACTTTTATTGCTGCGATTGTCCTTGAGAAATATATTCTTTAAAAATCCACGTTTATTGGTCTAGGAGTCCTTGAAAAAATATTCGTTGAAATCCACGTTTATTGGACTGGTTCTTTAAAAACTGTCCTTAAAATCCATTTGATTTGGTGGTCCTAAATAAAATAATCTTAGAAAGTCCCCGCTCATATCTCTACTACATAGTCCTTTCACCTCTTTACCACTGTTTGTATACTTTAAATCAGCCAATTTTCATTGTTATTTCCTCGCCAAACAATTGTAGCTTAGTCGCCTGGGTGTTGCTGAATGTTGGCTTTTTGCGTGCCGCCGAAAAATGTTTGGCTGTTTGTCTGTTTGTTTGTTGTCGTTTTTCTCTCCACAAAGAGAAAATTGTAGTTTAATGAAGTAAAATAATGGCTCCCCTGTTGCGAATTCAGTGTTAAAAACAAGAAACACTGAAAAATGTAGAGACAATTCAAAACGAAAAAACAAAAAATATTCCGAAACAAAAGACTTGAAAATGTTCAGACCTGCGTTAAAAAAAAGTCATCTCCGAACAATGCCACCACTTTTGCCTTAATATTTCGTAATATATTGACTTAATTAAGTTGTATCATGACGGGAGACGATTGAAGCTAAAAATAAATGGCATCTGGTAAATAAAGTGTTTAAAATTGTTGAAAATCGCGATGAACTGTTACTTTTTTCAGTGATATGTTCCTGGATTTTGTGATTGAAAATTTTAAAGAAGAATTTCTGGAATATGTTTTTCCTTACCTTATGTGATATCAGTTTTCAGTAGGATAATAGAAAGGACACAATGGTCTCACCTTTAAACTTAAACACAATATTTAAAAACAAAAATGGAATATTTTACTCTTCATTTGGACTGTGTATCGATCAATAAATTTAAATATTTAATAAATATCTTCAAATTTTTATTATTTTTCCACATGACCTGTTTTTTCTTGAGCCGTCAATTTTGTTATGAATCATTCGAAACCATACTGCAGGATTCGCTTTTCTCTTAATTGATTTTCGTTATATTATGAAGGAGTTCCGTCACTCGTATTCCTTCCAAAACCTAAAATTGCACTGTGCGGCAAAATTCATTATGGGAAAAAATCCAGCAGATTATTAAAGTAGAGCTAAACAAGTCATCTTATGTCAGATAATAAAATATATTTGGGCTTGTTTATTCAAAATATTTACCCTTTATTGCGATGATACCGAAGAAGTAGGCCAATAGGAAAAATATTAAATGCATAAAAACAGATAATACTGACAAAAATATTGAAAGGTATAATAATTACTTATTTCCAGTTTTGTTGGATTAATTGGTAATCAATTTTTTTTTATATTTTCTAGGGGATGTACCAGATGGTGTGGACCGACATTTTTCATATTTAATTTACATCTATGGCTTATAAAGGTACCTGAAAGGGAGGAGGGTGAAACCCATATTTACCTTTGAATTTTGTCGATGATGGTTTTTCACTGTGCGAAGTTAAAAGAAACATCGAATAATATGCTCTTTATACCCTCAGACATATGGCTAGAGAGGGTATATATTATTTGATATGGCTAAAACGTACCTCAACGAAATAACTATTTTAGACCGCTGGTCTCTTTGGACCAAATCGGTTTTAGCACATTTGGAGTCGATCTAGCAATGTCCGTCCGCCCGTTTCTATGGCTGGCTGGTGCGCACGATAACTTCCGAAGGGAGTATCCGATTTGGTCCAAACTTGGTGCATCGTAAAATTTTTGTCAAACTTAGATCGAGTTCGGAGATGGGCAATATTAGTCCACTCCTCTTAGTACCTCCCTCACAAAAGATTGAAATTTTCAAAAAACAAAAAAACCGTAAGGACAGGTCAAAAGTCGGGCACGACCTACTATGCAGGGTGAGATAAAATAACTGCAACCAAGTCAAACGCCATAATTTTTAATTTTTTTTTTTCTAAATTTTATTGAATGAGCAAAAAATGTCGGAAATATCATCAAATTTTAGAACGAGTTTAGATTTGTTCGAATTGGTCACCTTTGGAACGAATTATGACCCTCAAACGGCCAATAAAACCGTCACACGCTGCCCTAATGTTGCTCTGCAGTATTTTTGCCCATTCCCGGCGAAGCGCTTGCTTGAGGTTATCGACGCTTTTATATTTTTTTAGTGCCAACCTTGCTTTCCAAAATACTTCAGACACAATAGTATAACGGATTGGTCCAGTGGCCATTGTGCTGTGAAAATGAAGCGAGGAACCTTATTTTGTAACCATTCTTGGGTGGCGCGTACTGAGTGCGATAATGCAGAGTCCTCTTGGAATGTCCAAGGTCTGCGGCCAAAATGTTTGCGTGCCCAAGGCTTTAATACACCCTCCAGAATATTTTCGCGATAATATTCGACATTTATTCTGATGCCACGGTCGACTAATACGAGCGGAGAGCGACCATCATCTGTTGTGGCGGCCCACACCATCACCATGGCCGGCGATTGAGCTCTGGTGACCAACTGAAGGTGCACATTTTCAGCTGACCTCTTTGGCAAGTAAACACGATCAATTTGTTTTATTTACAAACTGGTGGACAGCGATTATTTTCTTATCGGAGAAAACCAAATTCGGCAGTTTACCACTTTCGGCCAAGCGAAGCAACTCTTTAACTCTTTTGAGTCTATTTTCTTTCTGTTGGGGTGTAAGTTCTTGTACTTTTGGAATTTACCCCGAGCTCATTTTTCAATATTTGCCGAATGGAATATTGCGATATATTCAGGTCACAAGCCATTTTTCGGCCACTGCGACGTGGGTTTCGATCAAGTCGCTTCTTTACTTTTCGAACCATTTCTGCTGATGTTGCTGTTTTCTTCCGTCCACTTCCTTGACGTCGGGCTACGCTACCAGCATCACGATAACGAGCACAAAAGATTTATTCACATTTAAATGCCGGAGCGCTCTTATAATAATAATTTTTTTCTGGAAAATTCTCACCAAAATGATTTTGTACGCTTGTAAATAATATAATGAGCTGTCACTGGAATAATTTTAACAGCTGTCGGACGAGTGGCTTAGAAATGACAGCAGTCTGAAATTGATTGCAGTTTTTTCGTCTCTCCCTGTAGATTTTTGAAAAACAAACGAATCAAGGAAAGCGAAATGAGCATCCGGTTCTCTTCATATTTCACACATCCATTTATTTCTACTAAGATTTACTATGAAAATGGGATATATCAGTCTATTCCTTCTAGTGCCTCTAGAAGCTCATAAAAGGCCATTTCTTCTTGTAACTAGGGTTCAAGATTTAGAAAAAAACGCTCACAGAAAGCGTTTTGGCTAACACAAGATCTGTTGTGAAAGTGATACCTCTTCTGGTACCTCACCCAAAAAGGCTCACAATGTCCAATACTTTATCTGTCATAATTTGCGAAAGTCAGGTAAGTAACCAATATAGGCACCACGCAATGTTTATATCATATTCATTTAGGTCCGATATGAAATGGACAATAATGGCCCATTCCTTCAGCATCTACAAATCAAATTATATTTCAAATAATCGAACATTGGCTGAGGGTATACATCTGTCGGCAAAACCGACTGATACTTTTTAACCTGTTTTTATCAAATTTTGGCATGTATTACGTATTTGGTGCACAATAAACACGAAATCGGGCGAATATAAATGTGGAAGCTACATCTTAATCTGGACAGATGTTTACCAATTTCAACATGTATTTTGCTAACAAAAATGCACGGGTAAATTGACTCAAAAATTTACAACAAATTAAAATTTTATACATCCCGCTTTCATATATTTATGGACAGCATAAACAATTAATAGTTCTCAAACAGGTCATAAATTGTTCCGCCTTTAATTTTCATTTTAATTATTTTTCTTCCCCTGCCAATATGCCCGATCATATTGCTTGCAATCAATTAGGGCAATTATTTTAGAGAAGAAAAAGACATCCCAATTAATTATATCATAGAATTTCAATTATATGAAAAACAACAGCAAATTAATTTAAACCATATTTCCTTCATTACATAAATTAGCCCCTCCCGCTTTCGGGCAATTGACAAATAATCACATTTACAAAAATTGCCTGGTCACGTTGTGGCGAGACAACTTCCTAAACATCGAAGTCCTCCCCAATCGGTTTCAGTTAAATGATTGATTTTAAAATAATTTTATAAATTTCGAAAAAAAATATTAATAAATATTTATCTATCCATAACTTTTCCACGTTGTCCTTCAACACTCCCCACCTTGATGGTGTAACATTATTCACCTAATAAATCATAATCATCATGGCAAGTGAACTTTTAACAATGTTGCTGCTCACACCGAGAGATGAGGGTGAGGGGCGAGAGAGAGAGAGAGTGAGAGAGATAAAGGTGCAATTGTAATTCACGCCAATGAAATTAATGCGTGAATGCGGAGCATCACAGATCCATTAAATACTTAATATAAACCAAACAAGAACACCATCGCCACCACCAACAACAACAACAATGTGACAGTAATGGTAAAACTGATTTATTTGCCCTTTTTATGGTTCGCTGGGTGACGGGTGGACGGAAATCGCGTAAATGTGTGAGTTATTTTTCCCCCGGAATATAAATTGAATATGAAATATGTGCAAATGTGTGTGTGAGTGTGTAAGTATTTCCCCCCTCAAACCCTCCCGCCAACCATTCAACTCCTGAACGTGAAAGATACATTCATTGAAATGAAACATAAATTCAAGTACGGAAAGATGAAACTTTTCCATTTTCATCCAGTTCGAAGAAGGGAGGGAGGGCAGGTGAGCGAGTGTGTGCGCTTTTTTTCTCACTTTTATTCATATTTTCACACCATATTTTTTCTGTTGTTCTCAGTTTTCCTATTTGTTTGATTTCATTTCGTTCTTTTTTTTTGCAGTTCACCATTGTTCCCGAACGGCGTTGAGTGGTATTTCATGTTGCTTCAACATGTTGTTGAAGTGTACAGTTAGGGAGCTATCTCCTCTTGTCCTGAAGCCGATAAATGAAAAGGTGTTGACGCGTTGAAAGCGCATCAACTCATCGCTGAGTAGCAAGGCTGAGCTGTGAAGGTAAATGCGTGCGTGTGTGTGCAATTTTAACGCGTATATATAGGTATGTGTGTGTATGTAAGTTTATACACTCTACAATGGGGCAAAAGATATATTGGGGCCTTTTCAAGGATAAACTCTCCAAAAACGTAAATTTTTCAAATATCATTTTTCAAGGATCGACTGAAGAATGGATGACGTGTATTATTTTACGGACCAACTGACCGATAGATTGGATATTTTAAGGATTTCTTTTGATCAACTGGCAATAAACCTGAATGTTTAAGGATCTTTTTCAAGAATCAGCTGAACAATAAATGTAGATTTCTTAAGTGTATTTTTTTAGGGGTCAACAAACTAATAATCGTGGATTTTTAAGGATATTTTTCAAGGATTAATAAACGTGGATTTTTTAAGGATATTTTTTCAAGGATTAATAAACGTGAATTTTAAAAAGGATATTTTTTCAAGGATTAATAAACGTGGATTTTTAAGGATATTTTTTCAAGGATTAATAAACGTGGGTTTTTAAGGATATTTTTCCAAGGATTAATAAACGTGGATTTTTAAGGATATTTTTTCTAGGACTAATAAACGTGGATTTTTTAAGGATATTTTTTCAAGGTTTAATAAACGTGGATTTTTTAATGATATTTTTCAAGGATTAATAAACGTGGATTTTTAAGGATATTTTTTCAAGGATTATTAAACGTGGATTTTTTAAGAATATTTTTTCAAGGATTAATAAACGTGGATTTTTTAAGGATATTTTTTCAAGGACATTATTTCAAGGATTAATAAACGTGGATACTTTAAGGATATTTTTTCAAGGATTAATAAACGTGGATTTTTAAGGATATTTTTTCAAGGATTAATAAACGTGGATTTTTAAGGATATTTTTTCAAGGATTAATAAACGTGGATTTTTAAGGATATTTTTTCAAGGATCAACTGACTAATGAACGTGGATTTTTTAAGGATATTTTTCAAGGATTAATAAACGTGGATTTTTTAAGGATATTTTTCAAGGATTAAAAAACGTGGATTTTTTTAAGGATATTTTTTCAAGGATCAACTGACTAATGAACGTGGATTTTTTAAGGATATTTTTCAAGGATTAAAAAACGTGGATTTTTTTAAGGATATTTTTTCAAGGATTAGTAAACGTGGATTTTTTAAGGACATTTCTTCAAGGATCAACTGACTAATGAACGTGGATTTTTAAGGATATTTTTCAAGGATTAAAAAACGTGGATTTTTTTAAGGATATTTTTTCAAGGATTAGTAAACGTTGATTTTTTAAGGACATTTCTTCAAGGATTAGTAAACGTGGATTTTTTAAGGATATTTTTTCAAGGGTCAATAAATGTGGATATTTTAAAGATATTTTTTCAAGGATTAATAAACGTGAATTTTTTAAGGACAAACAAACGTGAATTTTTTAAGGACAAACAAACGTGGATTTTTTAAGGATATTTTTTCAAGGATTAACAAACGTGGATATATTAAAGATATTTTTTCAAGGATTAATAAACGTGGATTTTTAAGGACCAACAAACGTGGATATTTTAAAGATATTTTTTAAGGATTTATAAATGTAGATGTTTTAAGGATATTTTTTGTAGGATTTATAAACGTGGATTATTTAATGATCAACTGACAAAACAACGCGGATTTTAAAGCGTATTTTCTCAAGGATCAACTGATAAATAAATGTGGATATTTTTGAAGGACCTAGAGACCAATAAACGTGAATTTTTGAATATTTTTTCAAACGTGAATTTTTGAATATTTTTTCAAGGACCCATAAACGTGGAGTCCTAGACCAGCAAACGTGGATTTTCAAAAGAATATTTTTTCAAGGACTATCCAATGAGCGTGAATTTTCAAAAGAATATTTTTTCAAGGACCCACAAACGTGGAGTCCTATACCAACAAACGAGGATTTTCAAAATAATATTTTTTCAAGGACCATCACAACAATGAGCTTGAATTTTCAAATGAATATTTTTTCAAGGACCATTACAACAACAGACGTGGATTTTCAAAAGAACATTTTTTCAAGGACCATCAGGACAATGAGCTTGAATTTTCGAAGAATATTTTTTTCATGGACCATAACAAAAACAGACGTGGATTTTCAAAAGAACATTTTTTCAAGGACCATCAGGACAATGAGCTTGAATTTTCAAAGAATATTTTTTTCATGGACCATAACAACAACAGACGTGGATTTTCAAAAGAACATGTTTTCAAGGGCCATCAGGACAATGAGCTTGAATTTTCAAAGAATATTTTTTTCATGGACCAAGAGGACAATGAGCGTGGATTTTCAAAGAATATTTGTTTCATGGACCATCAGAACAATGAGCGGGGATTTTCAAGGAATAATTTTTTCATGGACCATCAGGACAATGGGAGTGGATTTTCAAAAGAAATTTTTTTCAAGGACCATCACAACAACAAATGTGGATTTTTCAAAGAATATTTTTTTCAAGGACCATCACAACAACAGACGTTTATTTTTCAAAGAATATTTTTTTTCAAGGACCATCACAACAACATACGTTTATTTTTCAAAGAATATTTTTCTCAAGGACCATCACAACAACAAACGTTGTTCGTGGAGGATTTGTATCAATTTCTTGAAATATTTTGTAAAATACACTTCAAAAGATTGAAATTAAGATATTTTCCTAAGGATGAGTGGACGGTCCACTTTCTTCCAAAGGTATTCCGACTGTCAAAAAATATTTGTTAACAGAAGACCTGCAGAATTTTATTCAACTATGTTAAAATTCAAGTGTTTGTTTTCTCTTTCGAGACGAGCTTAATGATCAGGAATTTGCAGTGAAAAGGAAAGCCAGATAGACACTATCACACACTCACCACTATGCGACGCGTTTCGCCGTTGGTTAAGCGGCTCATCAGGCATATTTGGTGTGGATGATGGCTTACAAGGGCCGTTCTCTGGTAAGTAGTATATATTTCGAACTTATTGCAAATTAGCATATACGAATTATACACTAGAAACTCTCCAGGTTCGACTCAAGTTCTATTGGCAGATCTTTTTCACAGCAAAGTTTTTGTTTTTGTAGTGATGGATTTTTTGTCCACAACAACTACATTGCTTCCAATGCATACACTTGTTTTTTTAGTGCTGCTTTAGGAAGACGGGTTAATGGCTCTGAACGTAGAGACGGCAACTTCTAGTTGGCTGCACACCGAGGTCCGCGGTTCAAATCCCACAGCCAGGCTCGGCTGAATTTTTGAGTTTTGCCTTGTTAAGGCGAAGATCATATGTTTTATGATTTATGTGTTTGTTTTCTCTTTCGAGACGAGCTTAATGATCAGGAATTTGCAGTGAAAAGGAAAGCCAGATAGACACTATCACACACTCACCACTATGCAACGCGTTTCGCCGTTGGTTAAGCGGCTCATCATTCGTTTATATAAAAATGAGAAAGAACATTTTATTTTAATAATAACAGAAGTTCCAACTTTTAAAAGATATTATATCAGTAGAGAAATGTTCCCCTCCTTAGATCACCTTTGAAAGGTCTTCTATAAGTAACAGATAACCTTCTATTTTATAGATAACCTTTCCCAAGACTTTTATCAACAGAAGACCAATATAAGTGCTGTATCCATAAAAAATATAGTCCCTTAAATCCACAGAAAGGCTGCGAAAGTTCTTCTGTCCATAGAAGATAGGTCGAAGATAGAAGACCTACAAAATGTATTTTGCCTATAGCCAAACAGTGACAATTTTTCTATAGCGAACCTGTGTAACGGCCTATATATACCGAAGAACCATGAATGGTTCTACACATAAAGGAACCTAAAACCAGTAGAATTATTTTTTACCTCCTTGTTTGTTTAGTTTCTCCTACGGTTATATACCTTTATCATCTATTTGTATTGTAGGGCATTTCATTATCGACCGCATCCTTTTTCATTTGGTCTTTTACGCCAAACTTTTTTTGTTCTATTGTAAATGAAATCACAACAAAAATATTTATTTAAACTCTCGTAAAAAGGTACACCACCTCGTAGCAACAACCAACCACAGTGGTTGGCAAAAAACAATTGTAACGCGGGTTATTATTACATACATTCGCACTTTTCTGTAACAACAATGAGGTTATGTGATTTGGTAGGAAAAAATGCAGTTTAGTTTTACAGTTTTTCTGATTGAGAATGTGAAATTGATTACATAAAGGTAAAAGTGTGTCAAACGGTATATGGAGGTTGAGTTATGTTTATTTTCATAGTTAGACGCCGAATATTGAAGTGAGTGAGAGTCCATTTTATCTCTAATAATTATTAATCAGGTTTTAGTGCGGAAAAATATGATAATTCTGATCCTTTCAGATTTTTTTTTCAAATAAAAACACAGAAATCAAACATTCTTGAAAATGATCAGAACCTTATTATGCACATACATTACTATGTAGGTTATTTGTACCACTTGGCGTATGATTACCAAACCAACTTAAATTCTTTGTTCCGTAGCGTATACGCTACTGTGTACTTCATCAACTAGTTATCATTTATATTGTTTCATTTAGTAAAAGAAGTTATTTTCATTAAAACCATAATTTTAGTCAAAACTGAATTTTTGTAACCATTACACAAAATTTCAGTTTTGTCTAAATTCTGGTTTTAATGAAAATAACTTCTTCTACTAAACTCATTATCCCCAAAGCAGTGAATTCTCAGTGTGTGTATTCAAGTGGTATTGTATATATATTTATCGTATTAATATCTCTTTAAGTGCGGTTTTTGCTTCATTCTAACAGAGCAAAATATCTCTGAAAAGTAATCGCATTACAAATCATAATAATAACAATTATTTATAATTTTCAAAATTCACAGCACATCATCGCATCCAAAATAAATCCAAACTAAGCTAATTATAATTTCGCTGTTGGAAAGGTTGTCTAACAAACTAATGCAAATATTTTGAATACTCTGACTTGATTATTTTCAAGAATTTGTTTAAAACATATGATATCGAA